CCCAGCTGTGCCCAGGTGTGCCCAGGTGTGCCCAGGTGTGTCCCAGGTGCCCCCAGGTGTTTTCAGGTGTACCCCAGGTGCCCCAGCTGTGCCCAGGTGCCCCAGCTGTGCCCAGGTGTGCCCAGGTGTATCCCAGGTGCCCCAGCTGTGCCCAGGTGCCCCCAGGTGTATCCCAGGTGCCCCCAGGTGTGCCCAGATGTTCTCAGGTGTGTCCCAGGTGCCCCCAGGTGCCCCAGCTGTGCCCAGGTGTTTTCAGGTGTATCCCAGGTGCCCCCAGGTGTACCCCAGGTGCCCCAGCTGTGCCCAGGTGCCCCAGCTGTGCCCAGGTGCCCCCAGGTGCCCCCAGGTGTGCCCAGGTGCCCCAGCTGTGCCCAGGTGTTCTCAGGTGTGTCCCCTCAGGGCGCTGTTCCTGGAGCCGACGCTGCTGATGCTGGACGAGCCCACGAATCACCTGGACCTGAACGCCGTCATCTGGCTCAACAAGTGAGGCACACCGGGAAATTTGGGAATTTTGGGGAATTTTGGGGGGGTTTGGGGACTTTGGGGGGTCCCAGGGATTTTTTGGGGATTTTTTCGAGAATTTTTTTGGGGATTTTTGGGCGTATTTTTGGGGTTTTTTGGCATTTTTAGTGGATTTATTCGGATTTTTTGGGGGTTTTTTGGGAATTTTTTAAAAAACGTTTTTAGGATTTTCTTAAAAACTTCTAGGGTTTGTTTGGGGGAGGAATTTTGGGGATTTTTTGGGGGAAATTCAGAGAATTTCCGGTGTTTTTTGAGGATTTTTAGGGTTTTTTTTGGGGAAGTTTTTAATAAGTTTGGGAATTTTGGGGAAATTTGATGGAATTCCAGGGGTTTTTGGAGAATTTTAGGGATTTTGAGGGAGGGTTTTGGGGCGTTTCAGAGAATTTTGTGGCATTTTGGTGAAATTTGAGGGAATTTTGGGGAACTATTTTTTAATTTTGGGGAATTCCAGGGATTTTTGGGAATGTTGAAAACACAAAATTTGGAATATTGAGAAACGGGAGGAAAACCCCAAATTTGGCTGAGCAGGAGCTCGAATTTGGGGCATTTTGGGCTGCTGGGGGCTCCCAAAACTCCCCAATTTTCCCCCAAATCCCACATTTTCCTCCCCAAAATCCCCATTTTTTCCCCTGAACTCCCCATTTTCCCACCCAAATCCCCGTTTTTCCCCAAAAAATTCCCATTTAATCCCCATTTTTTCCCAAAAATTCCCATTTTTCCCCCCAAAATCCCCATTTTTCCCCCAAAATTCCCATTTAATTCCCATTTTTTTCCCCCTGAACTCCCCATTTTCCCCCCAAATCCCCATTTTTCCCCCAAAATTCCCGTTGAATCCCCGTTTTTCCCCCCAAATCCCCCTTTTTTTCCCCATTTCCCCCCCGAATCCCGTTTTTCCCAAAATCGCGCTTTTCCGCCCCGGCCCAGCTACCTGCAGAGCTGGAAGAAGACGCTGCTGGTGGTGTCGCACGACCAGGGCTTCCTGGACGACGTCTGCACCGACATCGTCCACCTGGACAGCCAGAAACTGCATTATTACAGGGGGAACTACAGTGAGATTGGGGGCAAAAAACGGGATTTTGGGAAAAACGGGGAAAAATGGGGAGAAAACGGGAAAAAACAGCGAAAAAACAGTGAAAAAACGGGAAAAAACAGCAAAAAAATGGGGGAAATGGGGAGATGGGAGCTCATCCACCTGGACAGCCAGAAACTGCACTACTACCGGGGCAACTACAGTGAGATTGGGGGCAAAAAACGGGATTTTGGGAAAAATGGGGGAAAACGGGGAAAAACAGTGAAAAAACGGGAAAAAACAGCAAAAAACGGCAAAAAAATGGGGAAAAAATGGAGGAAAAATGGGGGGAAATGGGGAGATGGGAGCTCATCCACCTGGACAGCCAGAAACTGCATTACTACAGGGGGAACTCCAGTGAGATTGGGGGCAAAAAACGGGATTTTGGGAAAAATGGGGGAAAAATGGGAAAAAACAGCAAAACTGGAAAAAAACAGGGAAAAAACGGGAAAAAACAGCAAAAAAATGGGGGAAAAATGGGGGGAAATGGGGAGATGGGAGCTGGTCCTGCTGGACAGCCAGAAACTGCTACAGGGGAACTGCAGTGAGATTGGGGGGAAAAACTGGGATTTTGGGAAAAACGGGGAAAAACGGGGAAAAACAGCAAAAAAACGGGAAAAAAACAGGGAAAAAATGGTAAAAAAATGGGGGGAAAATGGGGGAATGGGAGCTGGTCCAGTGGATTTCCCATGGTTCTGCTCCTGCTGTGGGAATTGCAGTGAGAATTGTGGGAATTTTGGGAATTTTGGGTGGAAAAATGGTAAAAAGCGGAAAAAATTGGAGGAGGAATCTGGGAATTTTGGGGGGAAAAAATCAAGAAAAAAGAAAAGGGAAAATGGGGGGAAAAAAGAGGGAAATGGGGAATGGGAATGAGGGAAAATGGGGCTGGAAATTGGAAAAAAATGGGAAAATTGGGAATGGGGGCAGGGAAAAAAAGGTGAAAAAGAGATAAAAAAGGGATGGGAGGTGGGGGAAAATTGGGAAAATTGGGAAAAAACGGGGAGTGGGAGGGGAAAAATTGGGAATTTTGGGAGGAAACCAAGAAAAGTAGGAAAGTGGGAATTGGGGGGGTTGGGAACGGCCCGAAAATTCCCAAAAAATTGCTGAAAATTGCTGGAAATTCCTGGAAATTCTGGAAAATTCTGGAAAATTCCGGGAAATTCTGGAAAATTCCAGGAAATTCCTGAAAGTTCCGGAATTGCTTGGGGGCGTTTGGGGGGATTTTGGGAGGTTTTGCACTGGTTTGGGGTGGCTTTTTGGGAAATTTGGGGGTTTCAGGGGTGATTTAGGGGAATTTGGGGTGATTTTGGGGATTTCAGGGGGTTTAGGCGTGGTTTTGGGGTGGTTTTGGGGGGATTTTGGGATTTTTGGGGAGGTTTTGGGCGGATTTGGGGAGGTTTGGGGGGGGTGAGAGGATTTTTGGGAGGTTTTAGGGGGGATTCAGGAGGTTTTGGGGTGATTTGGGGGAATTTCAGGGGTTTTCAGGGGGATTTGGGGTGATTTTGGGGGGTTTCAGGGGGTTTGGAGGGGAATTTAGGGGAGGGGGTTTGGGGGATTTAAGGGACACTCCCCAAAAACCCCAAATTCCCCCCCAACAATCCCAGATTTCCACAAAAAAAATCCCAAATTCCCCCAAACACTCCCAAATTTCCCCCCAAAAACCCCAAATTTCTCCCCAACAATCCCAAATTTTCCCCCAAAAATCCCATATTCCCCCCCAAAATCCCAAATTTCCCCAAAATCCCGACTTTGCCCCAACCCCAGGGGTGGATTTTGGCTACGAGGGTCAGGAGCTGCTGTTCCGAAACCTGGACTTCGGCATCGACATGGAGTCCCGAGGTGGGGCCCCAAAATCCGCCCCAAAATCCCCGAAATCGGCCCCAAACCCCCCGGCTTTGCCCAATTTTGCCCAATTTTGCCCAATTTTGCCGGATTTTGCGTTCCCAGTTTGCATCGTGGGCCCCAACGGCGTCGGGAAGAGCACCCTGCTGCAGCTGCTCACCGGGGCCCTGACGCCGGTACGGGGCAAAACCACCAAAAATGGGGAAAAAAAACAAAAATGGGGGAAAAACCCAAAAATGGGGGAAAAACCCAAAAATGGGGGGAAGAAATCTCCAAAAAATGGAGAAAAAAACACCCAAAAATGGGGAAAAAAACCCAAATATGGGGGGAAAACCCAAAAATGGGGGGAAGAAATGCTGAAAAAATGGGGGGAAAAAACCAAAAATGGGGAAAAAACCCAAAAATGGGGAAAAAACCCCAAAAATGGGGGGAAAACCAGAAAATGATGGGAAAAAGAAACCCAAAAATGGGGGAAAAAAACCCAAAAATGGGGGAAAATAAAAAATGGGGGGACGAAATCCTAAAAAAATGGGGGAAAACCTCCAAAAAAGGGGGGAAAAACCCCCAAAAATAGAGGGGAAAAAGCCAAAAAAATGGAGAAAAAAACCCAAAAATGGGGGGGAGAAATCCCAAAAAAATGGGGGAAAATTACAAAAATGGGGAAAAACCAAAAAATGGGGGGAAGAAATCATAAAAAAATGGGGGAAAACCCCCAAAAAATGGGGAAAAAACCTCGAAAAATAGAGGGAAAAAGCAAAAAAAAAAAAGGGGAAAAAACCCCAAAAATGGGGGGGAGAAATCCCAAAAAAATGGGGGAAAATTACAAAAATGGGGAAAACCCAAAAAATGGGGGGAAGAAATCATAAAAAAATGGGGGAAAACCCCCAAAAAATGGGGAAAAAACCTCGAAAAATAGAGGGAAAAAGCAAAAAAAAAAAGGGGAAAAAAACCCAAAAATGGGAGGAAAAAACTCCCAAAAATTTGGGGAAAAACTCCCAAAAATTGGGGGAAAATCCCCCAAAATTTGGGGCAGCCCCCAAAACTCGGGGGGACCCCAAAATTTGGATGTTTTTAACCCTTTCCCCCCCATTTCTCTGCAGCTCCGGGGGCAGATGAGGCGCAACCATCGGCTGGTAAGGGGGCGGGGCCAGAGGGGGCGGGGCCGGAGGGGCGGGGCCTAAGCAGGCGTGGACTTTATTTGGGTGGGGCGGAGCCTAAATGGGTGTGGCATTAACGTGACCAGAATGGGCAGGGCTTAAATAGGTGTGGTTGAGGGTGTGGCTTCCTATGCAAATATTGAAAGGGCGTGGTCATAGAGGGGGTGTGGCCTAATGAGGGTGGGCGTGGCCTCACCGGGAGCGGCACCTCCTGAAGAGAAATTTGGGGCAGGGGAGGAGCCGGTGGGGTGGGCGTGGCTGCTCTTGGGGTGGGAGTGGCTGCTAAAAATGGGCGTGGCTTATCTGGGGCAGGTGTGGCCGCTCTGCGGTGGGTGGGCGTGGCATTGGGCATGTCCCTGACCCCGCCCCGCCCCCCCCCGCAGAAGGTGGGGTTCTTTAACCAGCAGCGGGGGATGGGTGTGGCCGCTCTGTGGTGGGTGTGGCCGCTCTGGGGTGGGCGTGTCTGCTCTGCGGTGGGTGGGCGTGGCAGTGGGCGTGTCCCTGACCCCGCCCCACCCCCCCCGCAGAAGGTGGGGTTCTTTAACCAGCAGCGGGGGATGGGTGTGGCCGCTCTGTGGTGGGTGTGGCCGCTCTGGGGTGGGCGTGTCTGCTCTGCGGTGGGTGGGCGTGGCAGTGGGCGTGTCCCTGACCCCGCCCCACCCCCCCCGCAGAAGGTGGGGTTCTTTAACCAGCAGCGGGGGATGGGTGTGGCCGCTCTGTGGTGGGTGTGGCCGCTCTGTGGTGGGTGTGGCCGCTCTGTGGTGGGTGTGGCCGCTCTGCGGTGGGTGGGCGTGGCAGTGGGCGTGTCCCTGACCCCGCCCCGCCCCCCCCCGCAGAAGGGGGGGTTCTTTAACCAGCAGTGGGGGATGGGAGTATCAGCTCTGTGGTGGGTGTGGCCGCTCTGTGGTGGGTGTGGCCGCTCTGCGGTGGGCGTGGCCGCTCTGGGGTGGGTGTGGCCGCTCTGCGGTGGGCGTGTCTGCTCTGTGGTGGGTGGGCGTGACAGTGGGCGTGTCCCTGGCCCCGCCCCCCCGCAGAAGGTGGGGTTGTTTAACCAGCAGGCGGCCGAGCAGCTGCGCCTGGAGGAGACGGCGGCCGAGTTCCTGCAGCGCAGCTTCAACCTGGCGCACCAGGACGCGCGGCGCTGCCTCGGCCGCTTCGGCCTCGAGGGCCACGCCCACACCCTGCAGATCGCCAAGCTCTCGGGTGGGCGGGGCTAGCGGCTGGGAGGGCGGGGCTAGCGGCTGGGAGGGTGTGGCTAGTGGAGCTCCTGTTCTCATTCCAATCACAGCTCTGGGTGGGGTCTGGGTGTGGTCTGGGTGTGGCCAGGAGGGCGTGGCAATTCTCAGAGGGGCGTGGCCATGCTGGGAGGGGCGTGGCCAGGTGTGAGCTCACCTGAGCGCCCCTCGGCCCCCAGGACGAGCCCACCAACAACCTGGACATCGAATCCATCGACGCCTTGGCTGACGCCATCAACGAGTACAAAGGAGGTGGGGCCTGGGCGGGGCCGGGGGTGGGCGGGGCCGCGGTGATGACGTCATAGCTAGAAATGGGGAGAGGGACCCCAAGAGGGGGAAAATCTGCCTTAGCAGGAGGAGAAAATTCCCAAAGATTGGGACGGGGGATGCCCAAAAATGGAGCAAAAATGGAGCAAAAATGCCCCAAAAGTGTCCCCAAAACAGACCGCAAAGTGATGACATCACAATGATGTCACTGTGACATCACAGCGGTGATCGTGGTGAGCCACGACGCGCGGCTGATCACCGAGTCCAACTGCCCCAAAAATGCCCCAAAAAAACACCCCAGAAACACCCCGAAACCCAAAAATGGAGCAAAAATGCCCCAAAAATGGAGCAAAAATGCCCCAAAAATGGAGCAAAAATGCCCCAAAAATGGAGCAAAAATGCCCCAAAAATGGAGCAAAAATGCCCCAAAAATGGAGCAAAAATGCCCCAAAAATGGAGCAAAAATGCCCCAAAAATGGAGCAAAAATGCCCCAAAAATGGAGCAAAAATGCCCCAAAAATGGAGCAAAAATGCCCCAAAAATGGAGCAAAAATGCCCCAAAAATGGAGCAAAAATGCCCCAAAAATGGAGCAAAAATGCCCCAAAAATGGAGCAAAAATGCCCCAAAAATGGAGCAAAAATGCCCCAAAAATGGAGCAAAAATGCCCCAAAAATGGAGCAAAAATGCCCCAAAAATGGAGCAAAAATGCCCCAAAAATGGAGCAAAAATGCCCCAAAAATGGAGCAAAAATGCCCCAAAAATGGAGCAAAAATGCCCCAAAAATGGAGCAAAAATGCCCCAAAAATGGAGCAAAAATGCCCCAAAAATGGAGCAAAAATGCCCCAAAAGTGTCCCCAAAACAGACCGCAAAGTGATGACATCACAATGATGTCACTGTGACATCACAGCGGTGATCGTGGTGAGCCACGACACGCGGCTGATCACCGAGTCCAACTGCCCCAAAAACACCCCACAACCGCCCCAAAACTGCCCCCAAACCACCCCAAAACCGGACCCCGAAGCGATGACGTCACGCTGACGTCACTGTGACGTCACAGCGGTGATCGTGGTGAGCCACGACGCGCGGCTGATCACCGAGTCCAACTGCCCCAAAAATGCCCCAAAAAAACACCCCAGAAACACCCCGAAACCACCCCAAAACTGCCCCAAAACCGGCCCCCGAAGCGATGACGTCACGCTGACGTCGCTGTGACCTCACAGCGGTGATCGTGGTGTGAGACCAAATACTCCAAAAACACCCCAAAACCGCCCCAAAAACACCCCGAAACCACCCCAAAACCGCCCCAAAACCGGCCCCCGAAGCGATGACGTCACGCTGACGTCACTGTGACGTCACAGCGGTGATCGTGGTGAGCCACGACGCGCGGCTGATCACCGAGACCAACTGCCAGCTGTGGGTGGTGGAGGAGCAGGGCCTGAGCCAGATCGACGGCGACTTCGACGATTACAAACGCGAGGTGCTGGAGGCCCTGGGCGAGGTGGTGGTGCACCGGCCCCGCGAGTGACCGCAGTGACCAGAGTGACCGGCACAGTGACCAGAGTGACCACTGGAGTGACCGCAGTGACCAGAGTGACCAGCACAATGACCAGAGTGACCACAGTGACCACTGGAGTGACCGCAGTGACCGTCAGAGTGGCTGCAGTTACCCGCAGTGACCAGCAGGGGGCAAAGGGAGAAATAAACGGTGGTGGAGCAATGGCGGAGTGGGCGTGGTCTGTGGGCTCATTTGGGTGTGAGGTCAGTGTGGGTGTGGTCGGTGGTCAATTGATGAGGTCAGTGTGGTCAGCACCAGAGTGACCAGCAGAGTGACCAGTGGAGTGACCACAGTGACCACTGGAGTGGCTGCAATTACCCGCAGTGACCAGCAGGGGGCAGGGAGGAATATATGGTGGTGGTGCAATGGCGGAGTGGGCGTGGTCTCTATGGGCATGGTCAGTGGGTGTGGTCATTGTGGGTGTGGTCAGTGTGGTCAGCACCAGAGTGACCCCTGGAGTGACCGCAGTGACTGTCAGTGGCTGCAGTTACCCAGAGTGACCAGCAGGGGGCAAATGGAGAAATAAACGGTGGTGGAGCAATGGCGGAGTGGGCGTGGTCTATGGGCTCATTTGGGTGTGGTCATTGTGGGCGTGGTCAGTGGATGAGGTCAGTGTGGTTGCCAGCAGTGACCAGCAGAGTGACCACTGCAGTGACCGCAGTGACCACCAGAGTGGCTGCAGTTACTAGCAGGGGGCGCAGAGAGGAATAAACGGTGGTGGAGCAATGGTGGAGTGGGCGTGGTCTGTGTGGGTGTGGTCATTGTGCTCAATGGATGACGTCAGTGTGGTTGCCAGCAGAGTGACCAGCACAGTGACCACTGGAGTGACCGCAGTGACCACCAGAGTGGCTGCAGTTACCCGCAGTGACCAGCAGGGGGTGCAGAGAGGAATACACAGGTGGAGCAATGGCGGAGTGGGCGTGGTCTGTGGGCTCATTTGGGTGTGGTCAGTGTGTTCAATGGATGAGGTCAGTGTGGTCAGCACCAGAGTGACCAGCAGAGTGACCACTGGAGTGACCGCAGTGACCGTCAGTGGCTGCAGTTACCGCAGTGACCAGCAGGGGGCACAGGGAGAAATAAACGGTGGTGGAGCAATGGCTTGGGGGGGTGGGGGAGGGGAAATTTCCCCGCCCCTCCCCCCCCAGAATGGGGCAGAGTTGGACCCGGAGGGGGAGGGGTGGCGGTGATGAATAAATAATTATTAATGGCTAATTAATAATTACTAATTGCTCCTCCCCCCCGGGAGTGACGTCACCTTTTGGGGGGGTCCAGCCCCCTGCAAAGGGGGAGGGGCACCCCCGGGGGGGGAGGGGAGGCTCCAAGGGGGGATTTGGGTCCTGAAAATTGAAGGGTTTGACCCAAAATTAAAAATTTTTGAGCCCTGAGGGTGCTAGAACCCCAAAAAAAGAAAAAAAATTGCCCCAAAAAAGAAAATTCTGGTCCCAAAAATGAGAATTTTTGCCCCAAAAATGAAAATTTCTGCCCCTGGGGATGACTTTTGTCCCCAAAATTAAAGGGTTTTGCCCTAAAATTGAAATTTTTTTGAGGCCTGAAGAGGTTAAACCCCAAAAATTGAGATTTTTTTTTAAAGCCCTTTATAGGTTAAATCCCAAAATTGAGATTTTTCTACCTCAAAAGTGACAAGTTTTTACCTCTGAGGGGGAAATTTCCACCCCACAAATCAAAATTTGTGCTCCTGGGGGGGATTTCCACCCCAAAAAAGACAATTTCTGCCCCAAAAATGAAATATTTTACTGCTTGGGGAGGGATTTTAACCCAGAAATTGGAATTTCTATCCTGCAAATGACAATTTCTGCCCGAAAAATAAGGATTTCCATCCCCAAAATTACAATTGCCACCCCTTAAATTCAAATTTCTGTCCCAAAAGTGACAATTTCTCCCCAGAATTGCAATTTCCACCCCAAAAATTTGAATTTCCGCTACATAAATGACAATTTCTGTCCCTTGGGAGGGATTTCCACCCCTAAATTCCAATTTTCCCCCCTAAGTTTAAATTTCTGCCCTTTCAAGAACAGTTCCCACCCCATAAGTTTGATTTCCTCCCCAAAATTCACATTTCTGCCCCTTAAAGGAGCATTTTCTCCCAAACTCCAATTTTTACACCCCAAAAATTCAAATTTCCACCCTTTAAAGGAGCATTTTCCCCCCAAACGCCAATTTCTGCCCCAAATTTCCAATTCCTGCCCCAAATCTACAATTTTTACACCCCATATTTCCATTTTCTAACCCAAAATTCCAATTTTCACTCCTTAAAGGAGCATTTTCCCCCCTAAATTTCCACTTTTTACCCCAAATTTCCAATTCCTACCCCAAATTTCCCCCAAATTTCCAATTCCTACCCCAAATTTCACCCCAAATTTCCAACTCCTACCCCAAATTTCCAACTCCTACCCCAAATTTCCAATTTTTACCCCAAATTCCACCCAAAATTATCAATTCCTACCCCAATTTTCCCCCAAATTTCCAATTCCTACCCCAATTTTCCAACTCCTACCCCAAATTTCCAATTTTCCCCCCAAATTCCCACTCCCCGAACCCCACCCCCACCACACCCCAACAATAATTTCCTTTTCCCCCTTTTTTCTCCTTTTTTTCCCCCTTTTTTCTCCTTTTTTCCCCCCTTTTTTCTCCTTTTTTGCCCCCGCACCCCCGGGGGGGGAGGGGAGGCTCCAAGGGGGGATTTGGGTCCTGAAAATTGAAGGGTTTGACCCAAAATTAAAAATTTTTGAGCCCTGAGGGTGCTAGAACCCCAAAAAATGAAAAAATTTTGCCCCAAAAAAGAAAATTCTGGTCCCAAAAATGAGAATTTTTGCCCCAAAAATGAAAATTTCTGCCCCTGGGGATGACTTTTGTCCCCAAAATTAAAGGGTTTTGCCCTAAAATTGAAATTTTTTTGAGGCCTGAAGAGGTTAAACCCCAAAAATTGAGATTTTTTTTTTTAAAGCCCTTTATAGGTTAAATCCCAAAATTGAGATTTTTCTACCTCAAAAGTGACAAGTTTTTACCTCTGAGGGGGAAATTTCCACCCCACAAATCAAAATTTGTGCTCCTGGGGGGGATTTCCACCCCAAAAAAGACAATTTCTGCCCCAAAAATGAAATATTTTACTGCTTGGGGAGGGATTTTAACCCAGAAATTGGAATTTCTATCCTGCAAATGACAATTTCTGCCCGAAAAATAAGGATTTCCATCCCCAAAATTACAATTGCCACCCCTTAAATTCAAATTTCTGTCCCAAAAGTGACAATTTCTCCCCAGAATTGCAATTTCCACCCCAAAAATTTGAATTTCCGCTACATAAATGACAATTTCTGTCCCTTGGGAGGGATTTCCACCCCTAAATTCCAATTTTCCCCCCTAAGTTTAAATTTCTGCCCTTTCAAGAACAGTTCCCACCCCATAAGTTTGATTTCCTCCCCAAAATTCACATTTCTGCCCCTTAAAGGAGCATTTTCTCCCAAACTCCAATTTTTACACCCCAAAAATTCAAATTTCCACCCTTTAAAGGAGCATTTTCCCCCCAAACGCCAATTTCTGCCCCAAATTTCCAATTCCTGCCCCAAATCTACAATTTTTACACCCCATATTTCCATTTTCTAACCCAAAATTCCAATTTTCACTCCTTAAAGGAGCATTTTCCCCCCTAAATTTCCACTTTTTACCCCAAATTTCCAATTCCTACCCCAAATTTCCCCCAAATTTCCAATTCCTACCCCAAATTTCACCCCAAATTTCCAACTCCTACCCCAAATTTCCAACTCCTACCCCAAATTTCCAACTCCTACCCCAAATTTCCAACTCCTACCCCAAATTTCCAATTTTTACCCCAAATTCCACCCAAAATTATCAATTCCTACCCCAATTTTCCCCCAAATTTCCAATTCCTACCCCAATTTTCCAACTCCTACCCCAAATTTCCAATTTTCCCCCCAAATTCCCACTCCCCAAACCCCACCCCCACCACACCCCAACAATAATTTCCTTTTCCCCCTTTTTTCTCCTTTTTTTCCCCCTTTTTTCTCCTTCTTTGCCCCCCCACTTTTCCCCCTCCGAGGCCTCACGGAAGCCATAACCGGGGGGGTTTTTGGGGTGTTTTTTGGGGTGTTTTTGGGGGGTTTCAGGGCAGGGGGGGCCCGTTGACGCCGGGGTGGTAGAAGGCACAGTTGTTCTCGTACCTGCAGCTGCCCTTGAGCATGAAGTGGCGGCACACGGCGCGGCTCGACATGTCTGGGGGAGACAAAAGGGGGGGGGCGCGTCAGGCGCCGGCCCCCGGCCCCAAAACGGCCCAAAACGGCCCCAAAAACGGCCCCAAAACCGGCCCGGAGCGAGCGCGGCGCCGGGGGGGGAGGATCGGCACGAGGGAGGGGAGGAAAGGGTTAAAAAGGTTTGGGGGAGGGGTTGGAGCGGTTTGAGGATTTTGGGGGGTAAAGAGTGACCCCCGTCCGGCCTCGAAACGGACCCAAAATCGTCCAAAATGGCCCCAAAATCGCTCAAAATGGCCCCAAAATGGCTCCGGGACGGCCTCAAAATGGCGGCTGGGTGAGGACGCGATTTTGGAGGAGTTTGGGAGGTTTGAGGAGGATTTTGGGGGTTAAAGGGGAAGGGGTGAACCCCTGACCCCAAAATGTTCCTAAACAACCCCAAAATGACCCAAAATGGCCCCAAAATGGCTCCAGGACGGCCTCAAAACGGGCCCAAATGGGCCTCAAAATGGCGGCGGGTCCATGAGGGAGAGGAGGGCGGGGACACAAATTTTAGGGGGTTTAAAGAGGATTTTGGGGTTCAAAGGGGATTTTGGGGTTTAAAGGGTAGGGGAATAAACCCCTGACCACAAACTAAGCTCAAAATTGCCCCAAAATTGCCTGAAATGGTCCCAAAACGGCCCCAGAGCAGGCCCGGGAGGGCCTCAAAATGGCGGCTCCGTGAGGAGAATGTGGGACAGGATTTTGGGGGGTTCCAGGAGGATTTTGGGGGGCTCCAGGAGGATTTTGGGGGGTTTGAGGAGGATCTCAGATGGTAAAGGTGAAGGGGATGAACCCCTGACCCCAAAATTGCCCAAAAATGGCCCAAAAACGGCACCAGGGCAGGCCCAACATGGCGGCTGTGGGAGAAGGACGGGTGGGAAGGGGTTAAAAAGAGGCCTCCAAGAGAATTTTGGGGAATTTTAAAATAATTTAGGGGGAATTTAAAGAGAAATTCGGGGTGTTTGAGGAGGATTTTGGGGGCTTAAAGGGGATGCACCCCGACACCAAAATAATGAAAAATGGCCCCAAAATGGAGGAGGAAAAGGCTGGGGATAAGATTTGGGGGGGGTTAAGGAGGATTTTGAGGTTTTAAAGAGGATTTTGGGGTTTTAAGGAGGATTTTGGGGGTTTAAGGGGAGGAGGGTGAACCCCCAGCCCCAAAACGCTCCTGGAGCAAGCCCGGAGCAGCCGTGGGAGGACAGAAGGATGGGACAGAAAAAATGGGGTTAAAAATTGGGATTTTGGGGCCGGGGGGGGGCAGGCAGGTCCCTGTCCCAAAACTGGGAGGATTTTGGGGTGGGACCCCGATCCCAGAACTACAACTCCCAGCATCCTTTGCGCCACAAAACTGCATGAACTACAACTCCCAGCATCCCGTGCTGCTCACCAGAGCCACAGTAACTCCCAGCATGCCTTGCCAAGGAAACGGGAGCTGAACTACAGCTCCCAGCATGCCTTGCTGTGGAATTAAAGCCCGGCCTCGGCCCCACCAGGCCTGTGGGCTCCTTAGGATCGGGTTTAGGCCTTTATGAGCCAAACTCCCAGCATCCTTTGCTGCTCACCAATGGAGGAACTACAACTCCCAGCATGCCTTGGTGCTTAAAGACAAACTACAAATCCCAGCAGCACTTGCTGCCCAGGTAAAGCCAGGTTTAGGCCCCCTCAGGCTTCAGGGCCTTTCCTAGGACGGGCTTTCGGCACCCTGGGAGATGAACTACAACACCCATCATGCCTCGCTGCCCACAATTGTGGAACTACAACTCCCAGCAGCCATTGCTGTGGGTTTAGTGCCAGGTTTAGGCCCCACCAGGTGTCTGAGGCCTCCTTAGGCCTGGATTTTGGCCCTTCTGTTAAACCCTGCAGCGCACCTGCAGATGAACTACAACTCCCAGCATGCCCCGGTGCCACCACAGGCTGAACTACAGTTCCCAGAATTCCCTGCAGCCCCTCCCGGAGCTGATGTAAACCCCACCAGGCCTCAGCCGCCTCCAGTCAGGGGCTGCTCCTAACTCCCATCATCCCTTGCTGCCCTCCCAGGACCCAAACTACAACTCCCAGCATTCCCCGTGGCCACAAGTCCAAAACTACAACTCCCAGCGGCCTTTGCGGCCGGTTTGCCACACCCCCTCCCTCCCCAGCATGCCTCGCGGCCACTTTGCAGACGCCGAACTACAATTCCCAGCATGCCCTGCTCACACCCGACCGCCAAACTACAACTCCCGGCATGCCCCGCGGCCCCTCCCGCCACAGCCCCCGTGAGGGGCCGGGCCCCGTTTTGGGGCGGGGGTCCTTCCCCATTTTTGGGGGCTCTCTCAGCCATTTTGGGGCGGGGGTCCTTCCCCATTTTGGGGGCTCTTTCAGCCATTTTGGGGCGGGGGTTCTTTGCTGCCCTCCAGCAAATTTGGGNGGGGGGTCTCTCAGCCATTTTGAGGGCGAGCCCAGCACTCCTCAGGGGCCATTTTTGGGGGGTCCCTCACCGCCATCACCCCCATTTTGGGGAGGGGTCCCTCACTGCCCTGGAGCCATTTTGGGGGGGTTCCTCCTGGTAATTTTGGGGAGACCCCTCCCCATTTCCGAGGGGAACCCCTCGCTGCCGTTTTTGGGGGGTGGGGGGTGTCCATCACCGCCCTCAGCCCCATTTGGGGGGGTCCCTCTCTGCCCCATTTCGGGGGGTCCCTCTCTGCCCCATTTTGGGGGGGGCCCCTCTCTGCCCCATTTTGGGGGGGGGATCCCTCTCTGCCCCATTTTGGGGGGGGTCCCTCTCTGCCCCTTTTCCCCCGCAGCCATTTGGGGATGGGGGAATCGCACCGATATTTTTTTTGGGGGGGGGGGGGGGGGTCTCAGCCCCTCCCCCCCCTCAGAGCCCCATGGGGGGTCTGCGCCAGTCGTGGCCCCTCCCCCACGGCCCGGGGGGGTGCTCCATGGGCTGCATGGGGGGGTGGTGAGGGGGTGGGGGANACCCCCGTCAGGCCCCTCCCCCCAGAAATCGCCGCCGCGCTGGGGGGGAGGGGGGCCCAAGAGGCGGGGACCCCCCGGGAGCCCCGGGGGGAGGCCGGGACCCCCGCCCCCGCCGCCGCCGTGGGGACCTGCGGGCAAAGAGAGAAATTGGGGTTACTGCGGGGGTCTCGGGGGGCTTTTGGGGGATTTATTTTGGTTTTTGGGGGAATTTTGAAGGGGGGGGGGTTGGAGGGATTTTTTTTTATTTTTGGTGGGATTTTTTGGGGAGTTTTTTAGATTTTTGGGGATTTTTTTGGATTTATTTTTGATTTTTTGGAGATTTTTTCGGGATTTTGGGTGGGTTTTTTTAAGGATTCTTCGGGGGTTTTTAGGGATTTTTTTTTGGATTTTCGGGATTTTTTATACAATTTTTTTGGGGTTTTTTTCAGGATTCTTGGGGTGTTTTTAGGGATATTTAGGAGATTTTTTTGGAGGATTTTTGTGGGATTGTTTTTTTTATTTTTGGAGGAGAGTTGGGTGGATTTTTTTGTTTATTTTTAATTTTTGGTGGGGGTTTAATAACTTTTTTGGGGGGATTTTTGTGGGATTGTTTTTGGGGGGGATTTTTTTGGGGTTTAGGTAATTTGGGGAGGGGGCACTTACCCGGCATGGGCCCCCCCGGGGGGAAGTGCTGCATCTTGGGGGGGGGGAAGCCGTTCATGGGGCCGGGGCCCAGCAGCCCGTGGGGAACTGCAGAAATGGGGGAAAAAACCAAAAAAATGGGTCAGGGGGACCCCAAAACAGCCCCTGGAGGGGGGAAGGGACCCCCCGGGTCACCCCACTTGAAGGGGGTGTCCCCTGTTCAGAGACCCCCACCAATTAAAGGGGGTGTTCCCAATTAGAGACCCCCAAATTAAGGGGATCACCACATTTAGAGACCCCAAATTTACCCCAAATTAAGGGGATGTCCCCAGTTTAGAGACACTCCCCTCCCAAATTTAAGGGACACCTGCCCCAGGTGACCCCAATTTAAGGGGGAGTCCCCAAGCCCAAAATTCCTGTCAGGGACACTGGACATTGTCCCAAATGTGTCCCCAAAGTGTCCCCAAGCCCAGGGGTCACTGATATCCCTGACAAGGACACTGGACATTGTCCCCAGATGTGTCCCCAAGCCATGGACATTCCCAGTATTTCCCCTAGGACTGGACACAATGTCCCCAAATGTGTCCCCAGGGTGTCCCCAAGCCCACGGGTCCCTGATGTCCCTGCCAGGAACCAAGGGCAGTGTCCCCAGTGTGTCACCAAGCTCAAAACTCCCTGATGTCCCTGTCAGGACCCCAGGACAGTGTCCCTAAGATGTCCCAGAGGTGTCCCCAAGCCCAGGGGTCCCTGATGTCCCTGCCAGCACCCCGGGGCAGTGTCCACAGGACAGTGTCCCTGAGATGTCCCCAGTGTGTCCCCAAGCCCAGAGCCCCCTGATGTCACTGCCAGGAACCAAGGGCAGTGTCCTCAGTGTGTCCCCAGGGTGTCCCCAAGCCCAGAGCTCCCTGATGTCACTGCGAGGAACCAAGGGCAGTGTCCTCAGTGTGTCCCCAGGGTGTCCCCAAGCCCAGAGCTCCCTGATGTCACTGCGAGGAACCAAGGGCAGTGTCCTCAGTGTGTCCCCAGGGTGTCCCCAAGCCCAGAGCTCCCTGATGTCACTGCGACCCCCGTCAGGCCCCTCCCCCCAGAAATCGCCGCCGCGCTGGGGGGGAGGGGGGCCCAAGAGGCGGGGACCCCCCGGGAGCCCCGGGGGGAGGCCGGGACCCCCGCCCCCGCCGCCGCCGTGGGGACCTGCGGGCAAAGAGAGAAATTGGGGTTACTGCGGGGGTCTCGGGGGGCTTTTGGGGGATTTATTTTGGTTTTTGGGGGAATTTTGAAGGGGGGGGGGGTGGAGGGATTTTTTTTTATTTTTGGTGGGATTTTTTGGGGAGTTTTTTAGATTTTTGGGGATTTTTTTGGATTTATTTTTGATTTTTTGGAGATTTTTTCGGGATTTTGGGTGGGTTTTTTTAAGGATTCTTCGGGGGTTTTTAGGGATTTTTTTTTGGATTTTCGGGATTTTTTATACAATTTTTTTGGGGTTTTTTTCAGGATTCTTGGGGTGTTTTTAGGGATATTTAGGAGATTTTTTTGGAGGATTTTTGTGGGATTGTTTTTTTTATTTTTGGAGGAGAGTTGGGTGGATTTTTTTGTTTATTTTTAATTTTTGGCGGGGGTTTAATAACTTTTTTGGGGGGATTTTTGTGGAATTTTTTGGGATTGTTTTTATTTTTGGAGGAGAGTTGGGGGGATTTTTTGTTTTTTTAATTTTTGGGGGGATTTCAAAAATTTTTTTGGGGGATTTTGTGATTTTTTTGGGGTTTAGGTAATTTGGGGAGGGGGCACTTACCCGGCATGGGCCCCCCCGGGGGGAAGTGCTGCATCTTGGGGGGGGGGAAGCCGTTCATGGGGCCGGGGCCCAGCAGCCCGTGGGGAACTGCAGAAATGGGGGAAAAAACCAAAAAAATGGGTCAGGGGGACCCCAAAACAGCCCCTGGAGGGGGGAAGGGACCCCCCGGGTCACCCCACTTGAAGGGGGTGTCCCCTGTTCAGAGACCCCCACCAATTAAAGGGGGTGTTCCCAATTAGAGACCCCCAAATTAAGGGGATCACCACATTTAGAGACCCCAAATTTACCCCAAATTAAGGGGATGTCCCCAGTTTAGAGACACTCCCCTCCCAAATTTAAGGGACACCTGCCCCAGGTGACCCCAATTTAAGGGGGAGTCCCCAAGCCCAAAATTCCTGTCAGGGACACTGGACATTGTCCTAAATGTGTCCCCAAAGTGTCCCCAAGCCCAGGGGTCACTGATATCCCTGACAAGGACACTGGACATTGTCCCCAGATGTGTCCCCAAGCCATGGACATTCCCAGTATTTCCCCTAGGACTGGACACAATGTCCCCAAATGTGTCCCCAGGGTGTCCCCAAGCCCACGGGTCCCTGATGTCCCTGCCAGGAACCAAGGGCAGTGTCCACAGTGTGTCACCAAGCTCAAAACTCCCTGATGTCCCTGTCAGGACCCCAGGACAGTGTCCCTAAGATGTCCCAGAGGTGTCCCCAAGCCCAGGGGTCCCTGATGTCCCTGCCAGCACCCCGGGGCAGTGTCCACAGGACAGTGTCCCTGAGATGTCCCCAGTGTGTCCCCAAGCCCAGAGCCCCCTGATGTCACTGCCAGGAACCAAGGGCAGTGTCCTCAGTGTGTCCCCAGGGTGTCCCCAAGCCCAGAGCTCCCTGATGTCACTGCGAGGAACCAAGGGCAGTGTCCTCAGTGTGTCCCCAGGGTGTCCCCAAGCCCAGAGCTCCCTGATGTCACTGCGAGGAACCAAGGGCAGTGTCCTCAGTGTGTCCCCAGGGTGTCCCCAAGCCCAGAGCTCCCTGATGTCACTGCGAGGAACCAAGGGCAGTGTCCTCAGTGTGTCCCCAGGGTGTCCCCAAGCCCAGAGCTCCCTGATGTCACTGCCAGCACCCCAGGGCGGTGTCCGCAGTGTCCCCAGGGCAGTGTCCCCACTGTGTCCCCAAGCCCAGGGAAATGGGGTGGGAAAATGGGATGGGGAAATAGGGGAAAAAAGGGGAAAAACGGGGGAGAAAATGAGAAAAAAGGGGGGAAAAAGGGAAAAATGAGGGAGAAAATGAGAAAAAAGGGGAAAAACGGGGGAGAAAATTAGAAAAAAGGGGAAAATATGGGGGAAAAATGAGAAAAAGGGGGGAAAATGGGAGAAAAATTGGAGGGAAATGAGAAAAAATGGAAAAATGGGGAGAAAATGAGAAAAAGAAGAGAAAAAATGGGGGGAAATGGGCAATAAAAAAGAAAAATGGGGGGAAATGGGGGAAAAAATGAGAAAAAATGGGAAAATGGGGGGAAATGAGAAAAAATGGAAAAATGGGGCAAAAACGGGGGAAAAATGAGAAAAAATGGGAAAATGGGGGGAAATGAGAAAAAATGGAAAAATGGGGCAAAAACAGGGGGAAAATGAGAAAAAAAAAAGCAAAAATCAGGTAAAAATTGGGGAAAACCAGGGATAAAGTAGGAGAAAAAAAAAAAAGGACAAAGGGGGAGGAAGGGGAAAAAAGAAAAATAGGGAAAAAACCAGTGTGGGAAGGGGAAAGTCGGGGTTCCACCCTTTTAAACCCCCCCAGTGTGTGACCCCACAGATTTTGGGGTGATGCAAACTGAGATATCCAAATTTTGGGGGTGATCCCCAAATTTGGATATCCAAAATTTATGCCCCTCCCTTCCCCAGATTTCAAGGTATCCCAAATCTGAGGTTCAAAGGGCAGGGATGACCCCCAATTTATAACTCCAAATTTGTCACCTCCACAATTTTAACCCCCCCCATGATTTTGGGGCTTCCCACAATGGAGGTGACCCGCCCCCACCCCCCCAAATTTCGTGGTTGCCCGTTTGTGGGGGTTACCATGATGGAGCTGAGGATCTCCTGCATGTTGATGGGGGCGTTTTGGGGGGGTCCTGGGGGGCCCTTGCCGGCCCCGACGCTGCCCATGAGGTTGGCAAGGACCGGGGGCAGCTTGGCCCCCGCCCCCGGCTCCGGGGAGGCCGCGGCGTTCCCGGGATCCAGCCCCTCGGGATAGGCCCCATCCTCGCCCGAGCAGTCCTGGGGGGGCACAAACGGGGGGGTCAGCAAAGGCCTTTTCACGGTTTTTTACTTGTTTTTGGTGATTTTTTGGGGTTTTTTATGGCTTACCTCGTCCAAGGGGATGAGTTTGGGTGGGAGTGGCTCGTAGGATTCCGGGTCGGGCTCGTGGGGGCTGTCGGGAATGCTGAGGGGGTGCAAAAAGCTCAGTGGGTTTCTGGGATCCCAAAGGATTTTTTCAAATTTTATCCCATTTTCCCCCATTTGTGCCCTTTTTTCTAATTTTTTTCTCAATTTTTTTCCCATTTTTTCCATCTTTTTTTCCCATTTTCGCCTTTTTTTCCCTCATTTTTTTCCCATTTCCCCCCATTTTTGCAGGGGTTTTGCCCTTTTTCCTCATTTTTTCCCCATTTCCTCCCCATTTTTGCCCTTTTTACTCTTTATTTTCTCACTGTGGGGCCTAATTCTTCCTAGCCCACATTTTCAGGTTTAGGTTTTCCAGTTCTGCGTGTGCCAGAAATATTGGATTCTCCACCAGCCTGGGTGTCCCTCAAAATGTTCCCAAATGCACCCAAAGTGTCCCCCAAAAAGGGACAAAGTGATCCCAAAATGGTCTCCCCAAAGAGAGGCTCAAAGTTACAAAAAAGGTACCTAAAATATCCCAAATAATTCCCAAAATAGCACCAAAGTGTTCCTAAAAAGAGACTCAGAGCCTCCCCAAAAAGAGGCTCAAATAATCCCCAAAATGGCCCCCAAATTCCTCACAAAATAGTGCCTAAAGTGGCCTCAAAAACTGCTCCTAAAACAACACTCAAAATGTCCCTAAAAAGGGATTCAAAATGTTCCTAAAATGACCTCCAAAAAGGCCTGAAATGTGCTCCCAAAATGGCCCAAAAAGAGTCTCAAAGTGCTCCCAAAAAGGGCTAGAAACTGTCTCCAAAAGTGCCTCCAAAACGTTCCCCAAGGTGTCCTCAGAATGGCCCCCAAAGCCTTCATAAAATGACCTCCAAAGCCCTCATGGAAGGGACTCCAAAGCCCTCACAAAAACAACCCCAAAGCCCTCACAAAATCAACCCCAAAGCCCTCACAAAATGGAGCCTAAAGTCCTCACAAAAGGGCCCTCAAAGCCCTCACAAAACGGCCCCCAAAGTGTCCCCAGAACAGCCCCTAAAGCTCTCACAAAATGGAGCCCAAAGTCCTCAGAAAATGGCACCCAAAGCCCTCAGAAAATGACCCCCAAAATCCTCAGAAAGTGGTGCCAAAACCCTCACAAAATGACCCCGAAAATCCTCAGAAAGTGGTGCCCAAAACCCTCACAAAACGACCCCCAAAATCCTCAGAAAATGGTGCCCAAAACCCTCATAAAAGGAACCCCAAAGCCCTCACAAAGTGGTGCCCAAAACCCCCACAAAATGACCCCCAAAATCCTCAGAAAATGGTGCCCAAATCCCCTCACAAAACGGCCCCCAAATCACCCTCACCACCCCCAGACATTTTGGGCTCCAAACCCTGCCAATCCCCAATTCCCCATCACCAAAAGGAGATCCGGAATTTTCCACCCCCAAACTCCCCCCAAATCCCCCCAAAATCGCCCCCGGCTCACCTCTCCTTGGAGAGGAAGATCTCCTGCAGGATGCCCTTGACGCGCTCGGCCTGCGTGAAGCGCTCGCGGCTGCCGCTGCCGGGGATGACGAGCGGCGCCGGCAGCTCCAGGGCCTTGGGGTAGGCCCAGGGCACCTTCTCCTCCATGGAGTCGTGGCTGAGGCGCCGCGCCGTCTCGAAGGCGTGCCGGTCCTTCAGCATCTCCCGCTTGGCCGCCTCGCCAAAGTCCTTGATCTTGTTCACGTTCACTGAGAGGGGGGAAGGTTGGAATTGGTGGGAAGAAACCTTGGGATTGTTTTGTTGTGGGGTGGGAATGTTTCAAAATTGCGCCCAAAGGGTTCCCGAAATGGCGCCCAAAGGGTTCCCAAAATGGCGCCTGAAGGGTTCCCAAAATGGCACCTGAAGGGTTCGCAAAATGGCGCCCAAAGGGTTCCCAAAATGGCACCCAAAGGGTTCCCAAAATGGCACCCAAAGGGTTCCCAAAATGGAATCCAAAGTGTCCTACAAAAAGGGACCCAAATCGTCCACCAAAAGGGATCCAAAGTTAAAGCAAAATGGCACCCAAAGTGTCCACAAAAAGGTGCCCAAAGTGTCCCACAAAAACAGATACAAATTGCTCCCAGAAAGGAGCAAAACTTCCTAAAATGGTGCCCAAAATATCCAAAAAATGGCCCTGAAAACGTCCCCAAAAAAACCCCAAACTGTCCCTAAAATGACGCTAAAATGGCACCGAGAGATCCCACAAAACGTCTCTGGAAAGAGGGGCTCAAAGTGCTCCTAAAACGGCCCCAAATCCCCCCAAACGTGACCTTAAACGGCCCAAATCCACCCAAACCGACTCTAAACTACCTTCAACTCTGCTGAACTCCCCCAAAATACCTGTAAACTGTCCCCAAACCCACACAAACCAACCCCAAACTCCTCCAAACTGTCCCAAACTGACCCCAAACAGCCCCAAATCCAACCCAAACTGTCCCCAATCCCACCCAAACTACCCTAAACCGTCCCAAACTGACCCCAAACAGCCCAAATCCAACCCAAACTGTCCCCAACCCCACCCAAAGCATCCCCAAACTGTCCCCAAATCCACACAAACTGTCCCCAATCCACCCTAAACTCTCCCAAAGAGACCCAAATCAGCCCAAACTGTCCCCAGTCCGTACCGGTGTCCATGGGCTCGGGCACCTCGATGGCGGGCACCGGCGTCCCCGGCCGGTCCGTGTCCATGGGCTCCGCGGCCGCCGGCTCTGGGGACGAGGGTTTGGCCGTGCTGGGCTCGGGCGCCGGCTTCCCCTCGAAGGGGCTGGGCTGGGGGGCACAAGGTGGGTCAGAACAGGGTGGTTTTACCCCAAAATGGATCCCAAAGCGTGCCCAAAATGGTTTCCAAAGCGTGCCTAAAATGGCTCCCAAAGCGTGCCCAACATGGCTCCCAAAGCGTGCCCAACATGGCTCCCAAAGTGTGTCCAAAATGGCTTCCAAAGTGTGCCCAAAATGGATCCCAATGTGTGTCCAAAAAGGGAATCAAAGTGTGGCCAAAATGGCTCCCAAAGCGTGCCCAAAATGGCTCCCAAAGTGTGACCACAATGGCTCCCAACGTGTGCCCAAAATGACTTCCAATATGTGTCCAAAATGGTTCCCAAAACATGCCCAAAATGGCTCCCAAAGTGTGCCCAAAATGGCTCTCAAAGTGTGCCCCAAAAGGGAATAAAATTTGCCCAAAATGGCTCCCAAAGCGTGACCAAAATGGATCCCAAAGTGTGCCCAAAAAGGGACTTGAGGTATCCCTAAAATGGCTCCCAAAATGTCTCCAGAATGCCCAAAATGTCCCCCAAATGTCCCTCACCTTGGCTGCTGTTGGGGACAGAACTTTCTTCTTCTTTTTGATTTTGATTCCAGGGACGGGTGCTGAGTTCAGGGCGTCCAGGAAGCCGAGGCCTTCCATGGCTGGGGGAGCACAGAGAAGTCACCAAAAAACCCCAAATTCACCCCAAAACGGGTCCCAAACCTGCCTCGAAATGGTGCCCAAATCCGCCCTAAAAAGGATCCCAAAAAACCCCAAATTCACCCCAAAAAGGGTCCCAAATCCACCATAAAACAGCTCAGAAATCATCCCTAAAAACCAGATCCAAATTTTTCCCAAAATGGCATCCAGGTACCACCCAAAACCACCCAAAATGTCCCCAAAAACGACTCCCAGATGGAACCTAAATGCCCCCATAAATGGCACCAAGAGTCTCCCCTGAAAAAGTCCCAAATATCACTTGAATTGTCCCCAAAACCAAAGTCTAAAACATCCCCAAAATCAGCCCCAAAATGACCCCAAAATGAAACCAGAAATGGCGCCAAAATCAGACCCAAAATGGCACCAAAATTACCCCAAAATGAAACCAGAAATGGCACCAAAATCAGACCCAAATGGCACCAAAACGACCCCAAAATGGCCCCCAGGTGTCCCAAAATGCCCTTCAGGCATCCCAAAATGTCCCAAAATCCCGAAGCGGCCCAAACTCACGCTGTGGGGGGATGATCTTCACTTTGATCTCCTTGGCCGCGTTCGGGGCCGTGTTTAGGGGTTTGTATTTCTTCTCTGCCAGAGGAGCCTCCCCGGGGGCTGTCGGGGCGCTGGGGGGAGGAAAAGGGTCAGGACCCCCCAAAAACCACCCCAAAATCCCTGAGATTGCCCCTAAAACAGCCCTGAAACTGTCCCCAAAAACTTCAGAAGTGTACCCCTAAAATGGCCCCAAAGTAGCCCCAAAAAAGCCCTAAAACCACTCCTAAAATTACCCCAAAATTGGCCAAAATTTGCCCCCAGAAATGGTTCTGAAACCACCCCCAAAACGGCCCAGACATCCCCAAAAAACCTCCCCAAAAACCCCCAAACCCGCCCCAAAATAATACTGAAATTTCTCAAGACACCCCCAAAAAACCGCCCCAAAAACCCCCAAACCCACCCCAAAATAATCCTGAAATGTCTCCAAATCAGCCTCGAAACCGCCCAAAAATTTCCCCAAAAGCAGCTCTGAGGCCCCAAAACGGCTCTGAGACCCCAAAAATGGCCCCAAATCCCCCAAAATGGCCCCAAATCCCACCTCTGCCTCTTGACCGGGACAGGTTTCAGGCTGTATTTGTCAGACGAGGCCGAGTTTAATTTTTTCACCGGCACCAGCGACGGCGTCTCCAGCTCCAGCCCTGAGGGGAAAAAAGGGTTAAAAATCCCCAAAGCAGCCCCAAAAATCCCCCAAACATCTCAAAAACTCAACCCTAAAACGGCCCCGAATCGTTAAAACCCCAATATTGGAGGCTGAGCTCTGAATTCCCCAAAACCAACCCCAAATTTGTCTCAAATCAGCCCAAATTTCACTAAGTGAGCCCAAATTCCCCCAAATTCGCCAGCTTTAGCACAAATTCCCCAAAACAGCCCTAAACTCCAAAAAAAATCCACCCCAAACTCCCTTAAAACAGCCCAAACTCCCACAAAATTCCCAAAAACCACCCCAAACTCCCCTGGCAACAGCCCAAATGAGCCCCAAATCACCCCAAAATAGCCCTAAATTCCCAAAACCAGCCCCAAGCTCCCTTAAAATCAGCCCTAAATTCCCAAAAATCCACCCCAAACTCCCTTAAAACAGCCCAAACTCCCACAAAATTCCCAAAACCAGCCCCAAGCTCCCTTAAAATCAGCCCTAAATTCCCAAAAATCCACCCCAAACTCCCCCGGCAACAGCCCAAATGAGCCCCAAATCACCCCAAAATAGCCCTAAATTCCCAAAACCAGCCCAAATTTCCCTTAAAACCAGCCCTAAATTCCCAAAATCCACCCCAAACTCCCCTAAAACAGCCCAAATGAGCCCCAAATCACCCCAAAATAGCCCTAAATTTCCAAAATCAGCCGAATTTCCCTTAAAACCAGCCCAAAATTCCCAAAATCCCCCCCAAACTCCCCTAAAACAGCCCAAATGAGCCCCAAATCACCCCAAAATAGCCCCAAATTTCCAAAACCCACACAAATTTCCCTTTAAACCAGCCCTAAATTCCCAAAAATCCCCCCCAAACTCCCCTACAACAGTCCAAATGAGCCCCAAATCACCCCTAAATAGCCCCAAATTTCCAAAACCCACGCAAATTTCCCTTTAAACCAGCCCTAAATTCCCAAAAATCCCCCCCAAACTCCCCTACAACAGTCCAAATGAGCCCCAAATCACCCCTAAATAGCCCCAAATTTCCAAAACCCACGCAAATTTCCCTTTAAACCAGCCCTAAATTCCCAAAATCCAACCCATGCCCCCCTAAAACAGCCAATATCACCCCAAAATAGCCCTAAATTCCCCAAAACCCCCCCAAACTCCCGAAGCCCACCTGTGGAGCGGAACTTGGCGTGGCTGGGGGCCGTGGTCCGCAGGGATTTGGGTTTTTCCCGTTTCTTTTCAGGAATTTCCTCACTTTTGGCCTCATTTTTGGTCTCCTGGGGCTTCTCCGGCACGGGAGTTTTGCTTTTGTTTTCCTCTTTCCTCTTCTTTTTATCCCGTTCTGGGGTGGGAGAAGGGCAGGGAAAAAGAAGTGAGGGGATTTCAGGGGGGATTTTGGGGTTTTTTGGGGAGAAATTCGGAGTTTTTTGGGGCTCACCTGTGGGTTGAGAGCTGCTCTGGGAGCGGATCACGCCCATCCAGTCGCTGACCAGGATGGAGGCCAGGCGGCGGAGCTCTGAGGGGTTAATTAACAATTAATCGCTAATTAATCAGTCATTAATCAAGCAGAGGGTGGGGAGTAGCACCTAGAGGTGGTTTGAGGGGGGATTTGGGGGTGTCCAAGGGCGGTTTCAGGGGATTTCAGGGGGGTTTTGGGGGTTTCAGAGGGATCTGTGCTGATTTTTGGGGAGCTTGAGGGGTTTTGGGTCCCCAGGGGGGTCTGAGCGTGGTTTTGGGGGGTCTGAAGGGGATTTTGGGGGGTCTCAGGTGGATTTTGGGGTCTGAGGGTGGTTTTGGGGAGTCTAAAGGGGATTTTGGGGTTCCCAGGGGTTTTTTTTTTGGGGTGCTTGTCTTGAGGGGTTTTGGGTCCCCAGGGGGGTCTGAGCGTGGTTTTGGGGGGTCTGAAGGGGATTTTGGGGGGTCTCAGGTGGATTTTGGGGTCTGAGGGTGGTTTTGGGGAGTCTAAAGGGGATTTTGGGGTTCCCAGGGTTTTTTTTTTTGTTTTTGGGGTTCCCGATGGGATTTTTGGGGTTCCCTATGGGATTTTTGGGGTTCCCAGGACATTTTGGGGTCCCACCTGGTGTTGGGGATGGGCTCCCAGCTGAGCCAGGACTTTGGGGGTCACCTCAGGGATTTGGGGTTCCCGGTGGGTTTTTGGGGTTCCTGATGGGATTTTTGGGGTTCCTGATGGGATTTTTGGGGATCCCGGTGCCCAGGGGTTTTTTTTTTGGGGGGCTTGGGGGGGGGATTTTGGGGTTCTCAGGGTTTTTTTGGGGGGGGGTCTGAAGGAGATTTTGGGCTGTTTTGGGGATATATTTGGGATTTGGGGGGTGTCTGAGGGGTTTTTTTTGGGGTCTGAGGGAGATTTTTGGGGATTCTCAGGGTGATTTTGGGGGTTCTCAGGGGGATTTTGGGGATTTTTGGGGGTCCCTGCTCACCCTCATCATCGCTGGACTTGCTGAGCTGCTTCACCAGCTTGGCCGTGTTGTTCTGCAGAGGAAACCAAGGGTCAGGGAGGGGACAAAGGGACACTGGGGACACCAAAGCCACCCCTGGGGGGACCTGAGGGTGACACAAGCCCCAAGTGCCACCTGAGTGACCCCAAGTGCCACCTGAGTGACCCCAGGTGCCACCTGAGTGTCCCCAAAGCCCCATGAAGGGCTTTAAAAGTGACAAAAATCGCTTTAAATGAGACAAAACCCACTCTGATTGTCCCCAGATGCCACCCCAGTGTCCCCAGGTGCCACCCGAGTGTCCCCAAAGCCCCACGAAGGGCTTTAAATGAGACAAAAATTGCTTTAAATGAGGCAAAAATCGCTTTAAATGAGACAAAAATCACTCTGGAAGTGACAAAACCCACTCTGAGTGTCCCCAGGTGCCACTTGAGTGTCCCCAAAGCCCCACGAAGGGCTTTAAATGAGACCAAAATCGCTTTAAAAGTGACAAAAATCCCTTTAAATGAGACCAAAATCGCTCTGGAAGTGACAAAAACCCACTCTGAGTGTCCCCAGGTGCCACCCAGGTGTCCCCCGAGTGTCCCCAGGGCCAGACCTGCTTGAGGTGGTCCACGGTGAGCGGGAGGTGCTGCAGGGTGAGCAGCAGCTGCTGCAGGAAGGGGACGTTGTTGGCGGCCTTGGAGCCCGTCAGCCACGTGTTGAGCAGCTTGTAGCCCCCGATCCGGATGAACCTGAGGGGAAAAAGTGGGGATTTTATCCAGATCCAGGCTGGGAAACCTGAATTCTGTCAAAATCTGCCAAAATTCACTAGAAATTAAAAAAAAAAACCCGTCAAATCCCAGGTGCCACCCAGGTGCCACCCAAGTGTCCCCAGTGCCAGACCTGTTTGAGGTGGTCCACGGTGAGCGGGAGGTGCTGCAGGGTGAGCAGCAGCTGCTGCAGGAAGGGGACGTTGTTGGCGGCCTTGGAGCCCGTCAGCCACGTGTTGAGCAGCTTGTAGCCCCCGATCCGGATGAACCTGAGGGGAAAAAGTGGGGATTTTATCCAGATCCAGGCTGGGAAACCTGAATTCTGTCAAAATCTGCCAAAATTCACTAGAAATTAAAAAAAAACCCGTCAAAATTGGCCAAAATCCGCCCAAAATTAAAAAAATAAAAAATCAATTTTTCCACCTGATTACTAGGTCAGGATGAATCTGAGGAAAAAAAGTGGGGATTTTATCCAGATACAGGCTGGAAAACCTGAATTCTGTCAAAATCTGATGAAATTCACCCGAAATTAAAAAGAAATCCTGTCAAAATCCAAAAAAAATCCATTTTCCCGCCTGATGACTAGGTCAGGATGAATCTGAGGGAGAAAAGTGGGAATTTTATCCAGATCCAGACAGGAAAACCTTTAATTCATAAAATTTCACCTGAATCCAGCCAAAATAAAAAAAAAAACCAATCAAAAATCCACATAAAATTCACTTTTCATGTGGTTACTAAGCCAGGATGAATCTGAGGGGAAAAAGGGGGAATTTTATCCAGATCCAGACAGGAAAACCTGAATTCTGTCAAAATCTGATGAAATCCACCCGAAATTAAAAAAAAAATCCCAGTCAAAATCTGCCAAAATCCACCTGAAATAAAAAAAAAAATTAAAAAAAGAAAAAATCCATTTTTCTCTGTGCTTACTTGGCCTGAGGATGAAATCTGAGGGAAAAAAGTTGGAATTTTGGAAAGATCTGGTTGGGAAAACCTCAAACCCACCCAAATTTCCCCAAAATCCCCTCAGAAATCCCATTTTTCCCTGTGCTTACTTGGCCTGAGGATGAAATCTGAGGGGAAAAAGTTGGAATTCTGGAAAGATCTGGCTGGGAAAACCTCAAACCCACCCAAATCCCCCCAAATTCCCCCAAAATCCCCTCAGAAATCCCATTTTTCCCTGCGCTTACTTGGCCTGAGGATGAAATCTGAGGGAAAAAAATTGGAATTTTGGAAAGATCTGGCTGGGAAAACCTCAAACCCACCCAAATTTCCCCAAAATTCCCTCCAAAATCCCATTTTCCCCGTGCCTACTTGTTGAGGATGTCCTGGGCCCGGGTCTGCAGGAGGATGTTCAGGTAAATGCAGCGGCTCACCATCTTCTGGGAGTCCTTCATGAGGCTAATTAACGGTAATTAGTGACAATTAGCGGCTATCAACCCAAGAAAAGGGTGCAAAGGCTCCAGAAGTGGAGGTTTTTAGGGTTTTACCTGAAGATTTTGGAGATGCCGTCCATGGTTTTGACCTCCCCATCCCGGCCCAGGAAACAATCGAGGCCCTTGAGGAGCGAACCCACCCAAACCCACCCAAATTTCCCCAAAATCCCCTCAAAAATTCAATTTTTTCCCTGTGCCTACTTGTTGAGGATGTCCTGGGCCCGGGTCTGCAGGAGGATGTTCAGGTAAATGCAGCGGCTCACCATCTTCTGTGAGTCCTTCATGAGGCTAATTAACGGTAATTAGTGACAATTAGCGGCTATCAACCCAAGAAAAGGGTGCAAAGGCTCCAGAAGTGGAGGTTTTTGGGGTTTTACCTGAAGATTTTGGAGATGCCGTCCATGGTTTTGACCTCCCCATCCCGGCCCAGGAAACAATCGAGGCCCTTGAGGAGCTCCTTGGGGTCGATGGGGCCCGAGCCCATGGCAGGAACAGCCTGGAAAAAGGGAAAAAATGGGAAAAAAGTGGGGTTAGGAGTGGGGGGAGAGGCGGGAAAATAAGGGGGTGTAAAAATTCTGGGGGTGAAATGAGAAGTGAGAGCAAAATTGGCAAGAAAAAGAGGGAAATGGGCTCCAAAAAGGAGGAAACTGACCTCAAAAAGGAGGGAAATAACATCAAATGTGGAGAAATTGAGCCTAAAAATTAGAAATTTATATTAGAGGGTGAAAAGCGAGCCTAAAAAAGGGAAATAAACCCAAAGAAGTGGAGGACAACTCCAGAAAATTCAAGAAATCAACCTGAAAAAGAAGGAAGTAAAAGCTAAAAGGCAAAATATGGATCTCAAAATGAGGGAAATTAACTCCAAATGCTGGAAAAACACATCAGAACACTGGAAATAACCCTAAAAATGTGGGAATCAGCCCCAAAAAGCTGGAAATAGGCCTCAAAAAGCTGAACACCAGCCCCAAAAAGCTGAAAAACAACTCCAAAACCACGGAATTCTGCCCCAAAATGGAGGAAAACCACCCCAAAAAGCTGGAAATCAACACCAAAAGCTGGAAATCGATCTTAAAAGCTGGAAAACCACCCCAAAAAGCCGGAAAACGCCACTAAAAAAAGGGAAAACAACACCAAATAAATGGGACATCGACCTCAAAGAGCTGGAAACTGGAAATCAACACCAAAACCTGGAAATCGATCTTAAAAGCTGGATAACCACCCCAAAAAGCCAGAAAACACACTAAAAAAAAAGGGAAAACAACACCAAATAAATGGGACATCGACCTCAAAGAGCTGGAAATCGCCCCCAAGATGGAAAAGAGCTTTAAAAAGCAGGAAACTGCCCCCCAAAAAGCTGGAAACAGGCCCCAAAAAGCTGGAAAATCACCCCAAAAAGCTGGAAATCGACCCTAAAATGATGGAAAACCACGAGAAAATTGAGAAGTCAAAGCCAAAAGTGGGAAATCAACTGGAAAACCTCAGAAGTGCACCCCAAACAGCTGGAAAATGACCCCAAAAAGCTGGAAAATGACCCCAAAAAGGGTCCCAGGGACCCCCAAGGGACCCAGGGGGACTCACAGCCCCCCCCTCCCCCTCTGATGTCATTTCAATTAGCTCGTTTATTAATTAATAAGTAAATGAATTCAAGTATTAACACTGGGGATGAGGATTTGGGGTCACACCGTGGGGGGGACACAAACCCTGAGCTCCCTCCCCAATCAAATTTTTAATTTAAAAGTGAATTAAACCCATTCACCAAAAATAAAAGAGACAAAAACCTGTCATTCTCACCAGTTTTCCCTCATAATTTCATTAATTTTTTGTTAATTAACGAGCAGAACAGAGTCCAGGGGGGGCTTTCCAACCATAACCCTCCCCCAAGTTAAATAACCAGGGGTTAATTAACGAGCTGCCACTTAAGGAGGCGCCACATTTGGGGGTGTCACACCCCCCCCAAGCTCAGGCCATAATTAAACCCTCTGACTAAGGAACCAACCATTAATTAACACCTCATTAATGAAGGCCAAACCCCCCCCTTAATGACCCGACGCTCATTGACCCCAATCTGGGTCCCCTCCCCCCCCTTCCTGGGGGGGTTTCAGGCTCTGACATCATTAATCACCGCTAATTAAGGCTTAATTATGACCCAGTTTCCTTAACGAGGGCAGGGGGAGGAGCTGGCGAGGTTTTTTGGGGTTAAAACCTCTCAAAAATCTCCATTTTTGGGGTGGGGGCTGCACCCAGAGTTGGGGGTCGTTAAGAGTTCCCCCCCCAACCAGTGTTAATTAATTAAAGGGTACAGCCCCTAATAAAGAGATTAATTGGGGGGGGGTCTGCAGAGACACAAGAAAAAGTTAAAGCAGCACAAAACCCCCAAAAAATCCCCCCCAAAAACGAGGGGGGGGGGACCCCAAAAATTGGAGATTTAACCCCAAATTCTCACTGTAACCTTTGACCCCCCCCAAAAATGAACAGGGGGGACACAAAGCCCCCCCTGGAAGGCGTCCCAGCAGTGGGGGAGGGGAAAACCCCCTCCCCAAAAAGATCTTTGGGGTTCCCCCCCTCATTTCTGGGGATCTGCCCCCTCTTAAAGGAGTGGGGGGACCCCAAAAATCCCCCAAAAAGGGGGAAAATCCCTTTTTTTTTTTGGGGGGGGACACAATTCCCAGCTCATTAATGGAGGGGTGGGTCAAGGCCTGACCCCCCCTCCCCATAATTGGGATTTTACAGCATTTTTGACTCGTTTTACCCCCAAAAAAGGGATTTTTTTGGGGGGAATTTAAGGGAGGGGGCTGCCTGTGCCCCCCCCCCAACAGGAAATGCTACCACTGGGGAGAAAAGGGAGGAATTTGGGGGGAATTAATGCCAAAGAAATGGGTTTATTTCTCAAAAAGCTGAATTTTCAGGAGGGATCTCGGTGGTTTTTACCCAAATCCGTGAAATTTTTGGGATAAAAAAGGAGGAAAAGCCCAACTCCCGACTGCCGCATGCACCAGGAGAGGGAAAAGGGGGAAAAAAAGGGAATTTTGGATGTTTGAAAACCCTGCATCCAAAGGCCGTGAAATGGAATTAAGCCCAAAAAAAAAAAAAAAACCGAAAAAAAACCCAAAAAAAAAAAAAAAAAAGGATTTTTTTGCTTACCCGGGTTGTGGCTGTTCCCTCCCTTTGCTGAAGTAAAGCTTCCTAAGCTGCAAAAACGGGGCAAAACCATTGAAAATCGGGAAAAAAATGGAGTTTTGGGGGTGTTCTCCCTCCCAAAATTCCGATTTTTTTTGGTTTTTGGTTGGTTTTGGTGTGTGTGGAAAGGGGGGTGAAGCCCAGTGGTAGCATTTCCCTGTCACGATAAATTCAAGGTTATCAAAGGCTCCAGGACACTCCCAAATTCCCCAAAACCCCCCTGAAATCCCCCCCAAAAAAAGCAGAAAAAGGGAACAGAGGAAAAAAAATCCTGTGGAAAAAAAGCAAATAAAAAGAGGATTTTGTGGGTAGAAGGGGGGGTTAAAAAAAGGGATTTTAGGGGGAAAAAAAGAGATTTGAAGGGTAAAAAATGGAATTTTAAGGGGGGCCCCACAGTGGGAGGGGCAAGAACAACGAGGCCTCGGCGCCATTTTAGAGAAAAGGGAACAGAGAAAAAAAAATCCTGTGGGAAAAAAAAGCAAATAAAAAGAGGATTTTGTGGGTAGAAGGGGGGGTTAAAAAAAGGGATTTTAGGGGGAAAAAAAGAGATTTGAAGGGTAAAAAATGGAATTTTAAGGGGGGCCCCACAGTGGGAGGGGCAAGAACAACGAGGCCTCGGCGCCATTTTAGAGCTGGGAGAAAAAAAAAAAAAAAAAACAACAAATTCGGGGGTTTAAAAGGAATTTTTGAGGCATTTTTGAGGAATTTTTGGGGGTTTAAAGGGGGGGGGAACACACAGACACGAGAGACAAAGAGAACTGTGTTAAACCCCCTTCACCCCCCCGCCTCCGCACGAAAAAATCCCAAAAATCCCCCAGGATTGGGGTTAAACCCCCCCCAAAATTAAGGAATTTAAAGGGGGGGGGTTAAGAAATAACCGGGGGGGGTCAGAGCCGGAATAAAAACCCGCGAAGGCGCGGAATAATGAGGGGAAAAAACGGGAATTTGGGACAAACAAAGAGCGGCCGCCATTTTGGAGCTGCCCTGGAAGGCTCTGAGGGGAAGGGGGGGGGGGGGGAACTTTAAACTCAATTTCACTTTAAACTCAATTTCTGAGGGAAAAAAAGCAGAATTTGGGAAAAGCTCGGCCTGCCTAGCAATCTTTATTGCTAGATTGCGACCCCCCCAGCCCCAATTTCACCCGAACCCCAAAAATCGCCACGGAAACCCCAAATTTAACCTTCCCGCCCCCCCCCACCACCCGCGTTTCTCAGCGCAAAAAACAATCCTAAAATGGCACCTAAAAAATAAAAATAGGAAAGAAATCAGCTTTTTTTTGGTCGAAATTTCCAACCTTCCCCCCCTCCCCTCCACGCGCGTTTTCCTCCCTTTCCCCCTCCTCTTTTTTGATTTTTTTTTCTATTTTTTTTGCAATCTTTATGTACAGATTGCTCGCCGGGAATGCCCCGAAAATTCCCCAAATTCCCCGAATTCCGTCTCCCCCACCGCGCGATTTTTTTTCGGGTTTTTGGGGCCATTTTCCAGCTTTTTGGGAGGTTTTTTTTTTGTTTGGGGTTTTTTTTTTTTGTGGGAGCTGCTCGTGGACCCCTCCTCCTCCTCCGAAACCGCTTTTTTCTCCCGAAATCCCCCCAAAATTTCCATTTTCACCACCTTTAGGCACAGCCCACGTCCTCCTCAAGCACACGGGGGGGCTCTTCCTCCCATTATTTTTGCTCTTTGTGACAAATAAATAACTTGTTAAAGGGTTTTTTTCTTGTATTTTTTAAAGGGTAAGGGGGGAGCCTGCTGAAAATTCAACACTTACTATCCAATTTTTTTTCTCAGCCGACAGCGCTTCAAGGTTTGGATTTTGGCATTTGGAGGTGGTGTTAGAGCCAAAAAATTCGTTTGATTTTAATCATGGCTTTAAAAAAAACGCAGCAACTTTTTTTTTGCAGCTTGACGGGTATTTTGGGGTTTTTTTTAAGTTTTTTTTTTTCCCTTGGGTTTTGTTTGTTTTTTAAAGCCCTAAAGGAGTGGATCGAGCTAAACTGAAAACCAAAAAAAAAAAAAAAAATAGTAATAATAAAAAAAAGTTGCTTGGGTTTTTTTTTTTTTTCTGCTCGAAAAAAAAAGTGGGTTTTGCCTTTGTTTTTGGGGGGAAAGAAGAGGGAAATATGTTTTTTAAAGTGGCAGTTTCCTTCGGGTTTGGAACGGCTTCCAAGGACGGTCCAAAGGACGGAGAGGCTGCGGCGGCTCTTCACGGCAAAGGGGGAGAGAAAACCTGGTTTTTTCCTTCCCCTCTTTGTTGTATATATATATTTTTGTTGTTTTGTTCGCGTTTTGTATTGTATTTTGTATTGTTTGTATTGGTTTTTTCTCTCGTGGTAAAGGCGACGGCGTCTCTCAAGACCAACCAAACCTGGAGCGGGGGAAAGGAAAAATAAAAGGGGGGGAAGGTGGGGGATGGGCATAACGACAAAAAAAAAAAAGGAAAAAAATTGAAAAAAAGAAATTAGAAGCGAAGAAGAAAAGACACGAAACGATTAGAAGCTGTTATCCCCGGGGAGAATTTAAAGCTTTAAAAGGGGAAAAAAAGAAATAAAAAATAACGAGGAAACGCCCTTGGAAGGATGGGGGGGGGCTCAGCTCTGAGGGGACGTGAGGGCGGCGGCGGCCCCGGAGGGGCTCTGGGAAGGGGCAAGCCGCGTGTTTCCCCACACAAACGATGCTTGGCGTTTCAAAAGCCCCCCAAAGCTAAAAAAAAAAAAAGGGGAAAAAAAAAAACCCCCCCCGCCCCGCCCCCCCCCCCC